TTAATTTTTTTATCTAATATTTTTTAGTCACTTTTTATTTTTAATTTTTAAATTGTCCATAATTTTTTTTGGAATTTCTTCCAATTTTTTTTTACTTCAAGCATTCCACAAATTTCCAATCTGCTCCCCGATGAAATGCGATACAACTACAAAGCCAGCTTGCGCAGCGTTGCTGTGCAATTATGTGAGTTGCCAAGTTGAAAAAAATAAAAATRRAAAAAATAGCATATAGAAAAATTGAAATTGTGAAAAATCACTATAACTAAACAGCAAATCTGCCATTTTGCCAYACAACTCAAACATATAGAGCATGGACAGCACAACCCCACTTGCCACATATCTGCACTTTCTACAGCATTTTATTGCTGCCTTGCTGTATTTCCATGACAGTGAGGAAAAATCAACACTGTTTAATAATACCCCGTACAGCAAAAGTTGTCAACAAACACCAACGCACACACACATACACACAGAGTCACTTAAGCAACAGTACATAGGAACAACGCAATCAAAGTAAACACATACGCTTACATATGTTATGCGTGGGTGTTTGTTGTGCAATTCCCGAATGTATGGCATGCCATGCGTTGATGATGGCATGCCATGCGCCACGACGTATGAGTATTTTTTAATAAAATTCCGACGCTTGATCTTGCCACATGCTCGCCGGCGCTTGTGGGCGTTCATACAATCGCTACTATTTATTTGCAATACATACGCATACATGCATATACATATGTATGTGTGTATGCATGGCTTTGTTTGTATGTGTGTGCCTGCTGTTTGCTCTAACAAACTGACTGGTTGACTGACATGCAGCTTACTTAGCTGGCGTCGGTTGAAAGACATCGCTTGATGGTGTTGAGACGCCGACATGCAATGCGTTTAATGAAAGCCGCCGAAGCAGCATGAAAYACGAACAACAAGTAAATACGTGTAATGAAACAAATCTGACAGCAAGTGAAGAGCAGCATTTCCAGCAATGCATTTCGTTTATTTTCTTTCACTTTTAATTTGCTGATTTGACGTGGAATTTTTGAAGAGAAATAAGCAGCACAACCGCATTCTCACGAAAATACCTATGTGCGTTTATCACTGTTATACTGTGGAAAGATAGGTATGTAATGTTTATAAGCTAATAAGCTGTGTTTAGAAAAGTTTTCGCTAAAAACGGGTAACGCATAGAGTGTGTTGACAAACCCTTTCCGCTGCTGACATTTATGGCGTGGAGTTTATTGCTTTTGCCTCTACTTCTATTTCCTACATTTCCACTTATTCGCCTTCACTATACTCATATTCACCCATACCATACTGAAATAGTTGCATCAGAACTATATGAGATAGTGTTTCTGGGTCTAATCTATATCTACGGAGTGTATATTATCTTGGACAGGGACTTGTGTTACATTTTGTGAAAATATCTGGTTAAATGAAAAAAGTTCTCATATAAGGGCTTGATTTTGATCGGTCGGTTTGTATGACAGCTATATGCTATAGTGTTCCGATCGACACAGTTTGTTCGAATATCATATTGTTGCCTTGGAGAATATTCTCTGTCAMATTTCGTGAAGATATCTATCCAAATGAAAAAGTGGTCATATAAATACTTGATTTGGGTGGATCTGGTTGTATGGCAGCCATATGCTATAGTTATTCGATCTTGACGATATATCCGAAGATTATATTGTTGCTTCAAAGAATTATCTATATCGAATTTCGTCAAGATATTTTCATAAATAAAAAATCTKTCCATGCAAGCACTTGATTTTGATTGATCAGTTAATATGGAATCCTGAACTGGTCCGATGTAGGCGGTTCTTRTAAATGAAACACTGTCTGATGAGAATCGGGCATGCGCACCATTTCAAATCGACATACCGATGAATAAGGCTAACTCGTTTCAGCTATTCACTCTGATCATTTATGCATATCGTACTTTATAGAGTCTCGGTTGTTTTGATTGTTACAAACTTCGTGGCAAACTTAATTTACTTTATAAAGGGGCGACATATCGCTGCTTCGTTTCTCTCAGCAATTTGCTACAGAAGTTTTCTAAACTTAGTTCCCTTCAACAAATCCTGAAAAACAACAGCCTCTCAGTATCTAACTCATGATAAAATATGGGAAAGGAGGGTTATATATACTAACATCCACCAGCCGACAGCAAGTTCAGCGACTAAAGTTTCACAAAATCCCGGCTTCTAGCTCAGCCCAGTCCAAGGTTTAGCACTTCTTTATTAAACTACACACAACATCACTTCTAAGTTTTATCTAAAGGTAACCTTATAAATTTGCAAAAGAGCCGTCTAAATAAAGCTATGTATCAAATATTCAGTTTCAACAGATAGAAAATTCAGCCCCGCTATAAGTCAGTCGAAACTACGCCTCAGTTTAGCTAAGCGGGCCAAAACTAGGTGATATATTGAATCTTATCAGGTCAATTTAGCTATTTCCACTTTTAAGGTTGTAGAAATTCCCAAATTTCCAAAGACAATCTACAGACTAGATTCCACTGTTAACAAAATGACAACAATTTGGAGATAAGATGGCATAAAATACCAGCTTTACAAATTACAATGGTAATTTTAGCAACTCGGCTAGTCCACTAACAATAATTGACACAYTTTTATTGAGAGCTAGGTTTCACATCGAAGTTATTACTCTCAAACAAAATTTTCAGAGTTCTTCTTTGAAAATATGCTAAAGAGAATTCTAAGATATCTATAATTTTGAGTGTTTCTGTGCGCTTGAGATTAATATATTAAATTTTAGACTACTTTAAACTAAATTTATAATATTAACATTTTATTATCATTTCCTATTTGACAGCACCACCCGAGTCAATAATCATCTTAGACAGTAAAGGTGCGACGATAAAAGACTACAAATTGGGTCCCTACAATGAAGGTGCAGTCATCAATATAACTTGCGTGGCAGTTGGCGGTAAGTACAACTAGACATGGTAATGTTAAGRTTATGGAAGTAGAAAGTTCTATGTGTATATAACGACCACGTTTTTTTGCTCTAGAAATATGTCTTTGACTTTACTTCAACTGACGGAAACTTTAAAGGCGCTTTTGAAAAGTACATCTCGATATTATTTAATGAAATTCAATTCAAACAAAGTTTTCGAAGTTACATGTATCACTAGCCCACTACAGTGGAGTTTACTGAAAGGCACTGTGATGGACATGAAATAACGTCAGCTGTTAAAACGTATGCCTAATTGGTGTTCTGGAGGCGCATACGCGACTATATTGCAAAAATTAAGTACGATATACTAATGCGAGCTTCGTTTTGAGAACTGGCATTATTATAGTGTGACTAGTAGGCGCGTGAGCCTTTAGCAATGTTTTATTTGAGCTTCAAAATCGTAAGACTACACTACACTGTTCGGGAGGCTGTAAATCGAAATTAAAGTTTTTGAGATTCGTTTTCTAAAGCTTAAATAATTGCCGTTCCTCTTTTTGTTCAAAATGCATCATAAATGTTATCCCCTGACATTACTAAAGGCCGATAAATATCATCATTGTCATATCATTTTGCATTCAGCTTCAGCCTATAGAGCATTCACTTTGAGACATTCRTTGATATTAATCGCAGGCATATTCAATAGCAAAGTATTCCAAGAAATAACCAATGATACACAAGGTAATGAATCTATAAGACAACTTTAGCAGAAAGAATCTATAAGAAATATTATTCAAGCAGGAATTCCGGCTCCAACGAATAATCGACAAACAAAAGCTTTATAATTCATCTTAGTTATTCACTGCTTTGCGAAAGAATCCTATTCAAAAGGTCTTCATTATATTTCCATTTCAGCGTTGATCTTATTGTCCTGCCCCTTTTTAGGTGAAGTCCCTTGATCCCTGCATTTTCGTATTAGACAGAGGGCGCTCTAATTTCCWACTGGTGGGCAATCAACTTCCACATAGTCGCTTTTGCATAGTGGAYAGCACTGCGATAAAGGTTTTGTCGCGAGCTGACGGTTACCGACCCTTGAACAGTGCATAACAACAAAGTAGGCTTACCAC